GGTGGGAGTGAGGCCCCTGGCCCTGCCTATCCTGCCCCTTGCCTGGCTCCCCCCTCCCCCCCTCAAGGCGCTAATACAACAGACCCTCTAAGAGGTTCCACTCCTCCCTTCCCCGCTCACCTGCCGCAGGAAGGCCAGGTCTGGTTCGTACATGATGATGAAGGAGGGGCGCAGCCGCCACAGCACGAACTCGTCATGGCCGTCCAAACTTACAAAGTGAACATCCTGGAGCAATGCCTGTGAAGCAGTATCACTAGCAGTAGCTGCAGGAGAGGACATTCCATGGCCACCACCTGCTACAGCGCCATCATCACTACATCCCGCTGTAGCAGCTACAGCCGTGGCCGAAGGGGCTGTTGACGGCTGCGGCGCCGCCGCAATAGCAGCAGCAGTAGCAGCCACCTTCCCTCGGGCGGTGACCTTGTCACCAGTGACACTTTCCCCAGCCTCCGCCGCAGTAGCAGCAGCTGTACTGCGTCCACGGCCCTGGCGGCCTATTGCCCTGCTGCTGCCGCCGTTTCGGCGCCCCTGCCCTGCCGTACCCCGACCTCGATAAGACGCCGCCGCCGCACGACTCTGTGGCGGCTTGCCGTACACCCCCTCATCACCTTGAAAGTCCGACCAGTCGTCATCACTCGCTCTATCCCCCACATTGCTGCCTGCTGCAGCTCCCCCCTCATCCTTCTCCCCTTCCAGCACCGCCACCTCCATCTCCAGCTGCTCCTCCTGTTCGGAATCTGCTGCTGCCGCTGCTGCCACCCGCACCGGTGAATCATCCGGCTTGCGCTGCCGCCTGCTGCCACCGCTACTGCCACCCCGCCGGCCCCTGGGCCCCCGGCTCTGACGCCCGGACGCATCCGCTGCTGGGACCGTTGCGGCGCTGGTGCCGGTGCCGCCGCCATCTCCCCCCGCGAGCCTGGCCCTCTTTGCTGCCCGACCCGGCCCCCGCCCCCGGACCTGCGCCGCCGGCTCCCCCCGCGCCACCCCCACACGGTGGGCCTCTGCCAAAAGGGCCTGATGCTCCCCCGGCCGCAACACCGGGCCGTGACTGCACTCGTCACCATCACCGCCGCCACGGTACCGCTTCCAGCCGCCGCCGCCACCACGGCCGCGCCCGGAGCCGCGGCTGCCGCCAGGTGCGGCTGCACCGCCGTCCCCGCCCCCGGCAGCTGCATCGCTGCCGCGACGTCCTCTTTCCGTCGGCTTCAACTTGCTTAGAAGGTACGACTCGTACAACTGCTGCATGACTGGACGGCCGCCTGATGAGAGTCCACATGTACGGCAAGATTCCGAGAGCGGAGTCCCAACATGTGATGTAAAAATGCAGTTCAGAGGGTTGCAGAACCAGGTGGGCGTGTGGCCGTGTGGGCGGAAGAGAAAAGAGGTATGATGGCAGCACCAGTCGAGCTGCACCCCATTCCGTCTGATGTCTAAATATGGCAGTTGGTGGTGAGAGGTCGGGAGCAGCTGATTAGCGCGGCTCACACACACAGACACATTACACTACCTCCCCCCTGACGTATACGCGCACACACAACGTATTGGACGCATATGCCTGACGAGCTGCAACCCCCACTCCCAAGCATTGCCTGCTCGCAGCCCCGCACCCCCCTGCCTGCGACCCCTCTTCTTTCCCCCGTTCACACCGTCCTCCTCACCTTCCCGCACCACCCTCTCCAGCAACCTGGTCGAGTGCAGCTCCCTGACCACCACCAGCACGGGCCCCCGACCCGCCTCCGCGAGCACACGCAGGTCGCCAGCGGTCACCTCCACAACCCCACTGCCACTGACCCCGCTGCCGCCCGCCGCATCGGACCGCTGTTCCGCCGGGCCGCTGCCTCTGCCGCCCGCTGATGTCATCCCTCCTCCTCCTCCCCCTTCCCCGCCCCCCAGCAGACCCAGATCCTCGAGCAACGCACGTAGGGACTGGGCGGTGGGGGTACCTCCACAGCCCCCAGCTCCGGAACCACCAACAACGGGAGGTGGTTGAGGCCGGCGGTCTGCTACAGCGGGCGCTGCTGCCGTGGCTGTAGCCCTCCTTCCGGCCCTGTGTCCCTGCTCCCCCTGCTCGTCCCCCAGGTCATCATGCTCGTCCTGGTCCTGGTCCCCATCCTCGCTCGCATCACTGGAAGCCGCCAGGTCCACCACCTCAACCTGAAGCTCCGGGTCGGGTGAGGCTTCAGCTTCCGTTGCAACCGTTACCGCCGCTGCCGTCTGCGGCCCACCTGACCCACGGGTCGCGACTGCTCCCGACTCAGAACCCTGACCTTGGCGAGGACCGGACGACGGCGAGATTCGCGGCTTCTGAGTCCCGGTAGCCGCCCTGAACCCTGACCCAGTTCCCCCTGCCGCTGCCGGTGCCGGTGCCGGTGCTGGCCGGGCTGTGCCCGTGTTGTCGGTGCGGGGTGGTTGTGGTGTTGATTTGTGTTCCTGTGCGCCCGCCCGCAGCTCCCGGGTCAGTGTCCGAGCCAGTGTGGACAGGTCCTCCACACCCGCTAGGGCCCTCAGCTGCCGGCGCTGCCTCTGCACCTCCCCCAGCACCTCCCCCAGCAACCCCCACTTGGGCGGCTCCTCCAGGATAGCCTCCACCTCGGAGTGACACCCGCTGCCACCGCCACCGGCACCGGCACCGGCACCGGCTGAGGCGCTGCTCCCCCCCGCCGCCACACCTCCTGAGGTGGCCCTAGCCGCCCGGGTGCCGGTTCCGGGTCTGGATCCGGAGGCGCTCTGATGACCTTGCTGCTGCTGCTGCTGCTGGCGGTAGATGTAGACACGGCGGCGGGCCTGTGACCGTATGCATCGCACGTGCGCACATGGCCTGGTCGGTAACCAGGTGGTTAGGTAGTGTGGAGTTGCGGCTGCAACCGAGGCCATTATTGCGGCTACGAATAACCCTTGCCCTCCGCACGGACTGACGATCTGGAGCCTCATTCCACACGCACCCATCTGAGCTACTGGTACTAGTGCTGCTATGACTATGTCGGTATTAGCATGTGTCCAGGGCCACCCCCCTCCCTCCCCTCCTACCTCTGCTCCCCTGTCATGGACTCTCCCACTCCCCGAGTGGTTGTGTGGTTAGACTAATAACTCAACAACTCCACGACGATAAATACAAGCACACACGTACCTCGTATATCTCAGATGCCCCACAACCACACATACAGCCGCATCCGCACCTGCTCGTAAATGGCGTGTGTTGCATCATGGAACAGCCACATGCAGCGCACCCCCTCGCTCTGCCTGAGTCCCTCCAGGTGCGCCAGGAAGGTCACGCAGTCGGCGGACAGCAGCAGGGCGGATAACTCCCGCAGGGTGCGCAGGTCGCTGAAGGAGGTGGGGGAGGGAGGGAGGGAGGGAGGGAGGTGTCCAAGGAAGGAAGACCTCTCGAGTTCGGGAGGGGCGGGGAGGCAGAGGATCCGCTGCCTGGTAGTCGTTAAGAGGGGCGGGGAGGGAGGCAGGCCCCGCGGAGGTGAAGTAACTGGACGTGTACGGACCTAGAGCGCAGGGCCGAGATGTCGATGTGGGTGTGGGTGAAGGTGGGTACGGGGTGCCGTATGGGGCCTTAGGGGCGGGCAACACCCCAGCTGGGATTCCCCCCTAGGCCACCGGTTCCTGGATACCCGTCATTTACACAACGTGACCAGCTCGGCCACCCAACCTCCCACCGCTTGCGGGTTTCAGCAAAGCAGATGCTCCACCCGTCACGGGAAGGGGTTGGCTCCAACCCCGCACCCCAGCCCATCCCTGCAATCAGCCCAGCCACCCATGTCGTACTAACCACTCACGTGCATATTCTCCGGGTCTTGTAGCTGACGGTGTGCCAGATGGGGTCCAACTGTCGACGTACGATTTCGTCGAAGGCGCGCAACACACCGTTCTCCAGCACCAGCTCAGTCCTGAGGTAAACCGGGGGAAGGGGGGAGGAGGAGGGAGGGGAGGGAGATGTGAGGCAGGCAGGCAGATAACGTCCCCCGCTGTCTGGAAACGTCCCTTAACACAACATCATGTTTAGTGAGCGCTCTATTGCGGGGTTGGGCGGTGGTGGCCGCTGCAGGGGCTGATGGAAGTACTGCTGTAGGCCGGTAGCGGTCCGGAAACCAGCATGCCCGGCTGATGGCCAGGGCTCAACATATGATTACACCTGTACGGCTCCCTGTACGGCCCCTATACAACAGCTTTAGGAGCCCTTTGAGATCGTTTCTGTGCCAGCCCTTTGCCGCCGCCGCTGTCTTGGTGCACACGCACTCTCGTCCCAGTGTTCCTCTCCCCCCACTGACATGTCCAGTTTGTTGTTGGTCCTCCTCAGCTCCCGGATGAGGCCCTCCAGCACCTCCACCAGGGCGGCCTGGATGAGCACCATGGGGCCGCTGAGCTCCTGGTCCCACTCAAACACCTGCGGGGGTTGGGGGGTAGTGGAGGAGGAGGGGCAGGGACTCGTCGAAGAGGGAATGGGCGAGAGGAAAGAGAGAGAGAGAGAGAGGGGGGGGGAGAGAGAGGGAGAGAGACAGAGGGAGAGAGAGAGGGAGAGAGCGAGGAGCTCACCACGGGCTTGTGATTGTCCAAGCACTGCCGTACATGCTCCTGGAACCTAGGCCACAGATGCAGCCGTTTCAGCCTCAGCGCCTTCATCACATGCTCCACGCGATTGAATCCACGGTTGAACGCACCAGGTGCATCAGACAGGGCATAAACCCAACACCCTCCTCCGCTGCCACCCCTGGCCGGCCCCGTCCGCGCGGCTGCGTCCCCCTCAGCTTTGAGCAGCGCCACTGCAAAGCCCTCGCCACTGGTGTCACTTGCGCGGTGAGCGTTGAGTATGAGCAGTCCCCCAACCTCCCACGGCCTCAGTCTGCGAGCCAGCAGGTCCACCACCAGAATTCGGGGGGTGATGAAGAGGGGTCGACCTCCAGGGAGGGCCCTGTACAGCTGTACACGCTCTGCAGCAGGAATTTCATTGGTGATGTCCACGGGGGCCTCCAGGGAGGGGTCGTGGCGGGCGAGCTCAGCAGTAATGAGGGCTCGCTGCCGGGGCCCGGCGCCAAGGACGAGGACGCAGCCGGGGTGTCCATCGCCGTCGATGCCGCTGCCGCTGCCGCAATGGATACTTGTATGAGCGCTCAAGGGTAGGGGTGTTGCGTCGGTGCGTTTGCTGGTTGAGGGGGCAGCATTGGCAGGCGTTACGGAAAGGGATAGCGATGTGGCGGGAAAGGGCGTGGTGCCAGGTTGTTGTTGTTGTTGCTGTTGTTGCGCAGGATGGTCTTTTGGGTCGCTGGATGGGTTTAGGTGTGGTGCGCCAGCAACGCGTGCATGCTGTGCAATGCGGAGGAGGACCGCGGCGACGCGCTGCCATCCAAGTCCCGCAGCGGTAATTATAAGGCAGTCTTCCTGAGGATACAGATTTTAAAAGGAGAAACAAGGTTGCAAATGGGCCGGTGCAGGATAGAGTACAAGGGCATTTGCGAAGATTTGCTGAAGCACACGCCTCAGGAGACGTTTTCTTCCAAGATTTACTTGAATGGCCTCTTCTATGAGATGCCTCTCGTAGGGCAGGAGCATTAGCGACGACAACGCGGTTGCCTCAACTTGCTCCATCTTTAGTCAGGTGCCATCGGTGATACATTTATTTTGGAGGAGAATACTTAAGAATTATGGTAATTCCCTTGCATAATAGGAAAATCACTTCGCGAGTTCTTAGTCATAAAGACTTGCAGAGCTCCTATTGATAGGCGTCCTACCGAAACACATGACTTTGGTGCAAGCACCAGAAGCTGTTCTCCGATTGCTTTATGACTTGGGACACCCTGCGGGGCCCATCATACTAGTACGACCAACAACGGGTTACCGGCAAGCCGCTGCGATCATCATCACCGCCACGCTGCCACTACGTTCGTTCCGTTCGCTCACCACCACCGCCGTCGCCACCATCACTGCCTGAACCTAAGCATAACCCCGTTCGGGTATCTGTTTCGCAGGGTTTCCCTTTCAGCCCGAGCACTGTCCTTGCAGAGTCGTTCTTGTTCCCACATCCATCTGCCTTTCCTGTCACTTCGACTTTCCTAACTCTATTAAGGGCACGCCTTCCCCGACGACGCGTCGTTGACTTGTTTTAGTTAGTTACAGCAGTATTAGAGTAAACCAAGCCAAGAGCCAAGCTAAGAGCCCACTTCCCCCACCTGCTGAACAACACCACATTTTCCTTGTCGGCACTGCACCTGCTCCAATGAAGCCACTCCCATTGCACTCATCTGGTCTCTAGGACCTTCTTGGTGGTACCCAGGCCCGAAATGTTTGCTCCATACGACAGCAAAGGTCTGATCTGGACGTCAAAGCACCGTCGCATAAAATTCGCTGAAACCCTGCCTAACCTTTTTTCGTGTTTTGGGCAAAGAGGTCCAGGAACACCGGAAAGGCGGAAACCAGTTACCGGCCTTTACTGGGAATGTTCAACATTTTGGTCACACTTCCATGCTGGCGTGGCAATTCCAAACACCGGAGCTGCCCTCGGGAAGCGATAAATACATCTGCTTTACCGCCTATGATAGATGCGTAGATGCAAAAGTTCATCTGCGCGGAACACTAGAAGGCGGTGAATGGGGTTACTTCGTCTCCAGACCGTTCTGTAAAGCCTTCACATGCGTGGCAGAGTTAAAATCTGTTCTATGCCCTGTGCCGTGAGTCATACTTCAAGATACTGCTGGCGTGTATACTATTGTTTTATGTAACCAAACCACAACTGGATGGTGGCGTCGGAAGACACCGATTGGAAGAGTTTCGTCTGCTTAAATAGCGGGGGATGCAGCCATCACATGAATCGTACAGCCAGTTCCGAAATGGCGCGGTCCAGTCCCGGAATGGTGTACCGTTGATCCATGCTTCCAATCGATGCCGGGGCTCCGCGAGCCAGGGACCAGCGTCCCAGTCGTAGCTTTTGCTATGACCCCCGCCCATACTTCTGCAAGTATGGACTTCCGCCTGAGGCGGCGTTTACTTGTAGGCATCCATGACAGCTGACCCAGAGGTCGGAGCCATAAGATCTGACAGAAAGGCGGCAAAATAGGCAGTTGGAATTCAGTTAGTTCCAGCGAACTTGTCCAGCAACCGCGCCAAGCGAGAAAGGAAAAACTAGACAGAAACGGTATCAGTTTGGGACCAGATTTAAGAAGCGGAATACAACAACTATCCCCCCTCTAGATGCAGCATCCTCGATGCATGGTAAGAAACTGGCAGAGCAGAATAGTAGCGCGGGAGCTAAACACTTACCTTTAACCCCCAAATCTTACCTCGCCCGTGCTCGTTGCCGTGCTTCTTCCAGCAGAGGTTTCAGACCAGGGGTCAAGTTAGCTTCTGGTTCGCAACTGTTGTGCTCAGCCGAGTACCCAGCCCATTTGACAAGATACTCGTGCACAGTGAGCTTACGGTGGCGGTTTCTGCCTACTTTTCGGGAACGGTAATCCAGTATCCGTTGAACCGCGTAAAATGTCTGCTTGCCTGAAAGCCAAGTAACTGGTCCTGGCTCCGTGACCGTTAGCGCGTAATAGCGGCGAGAGCCGACAGGTTACAGGACGGATTCGCTCCGTCAAGTTCTGGGTTCGTTCCTTAGTAGGGAGCGTCAGAAGCGTGGGCTTCTGGAATCTCTCTCACTGGTGTATTGTTAGTTTGATAGGTGGATACGTATCTAACCCAGGCTTCCTCCCGAGTATAAATACTCGTTGCTTAGGAGGCCGTAACAACTTCTATTGTACGATGTCCCTTCAGATCCACATTGGTTGCTCGAACCGATGTGTCTGTAGGTATCTCAAGTGCGTGTCATTCCTTGGTTAGGAAGCACGCCTAAACTCCAAGATATTCGTAGACTGTTCGTAGATCAGTCTTATCAAGTCGTGTCTTAATCACGCAGCGATTAAGTTCTGTAACGCTCTAACGCGCTACAACATCTGACCCCCTCTCTAGGCGCCTGCTTCCACGCGGCGCGCAGTCCAATAGGCATCAATAAGAGATCTATCGGGGAAAGCAGGTTCTTCAATCCAACTGTTATTCTCATGTCCATGACCAACCCATTTCACGAGATATCGTGTCAGGGTTCGGTTTCGGAGTTTCCGTTGATCATGATCTAGGATGCGTTCAGGTGTCCATACAGAGGTAGAACCTTCAAGTTCCATTCCCACTGTAGGGCGAGGTGGTTGTACGGTGCCATCAGATCGATAAGGTCGTAACAACGATACATGGAATGCTATTCCATGTACGTAGTACGTTATGGAAACGATATTCCTCTGGAAGGGTCAGTCTAGCAGCAGCAGGATTGATCATCTTCTCAATCGTGAAAGGTCCAATCCATTAGGTAAAAGCTTCTTCGAAGCTTTCTGGAGGGTTAAATTCTTCGTACTGAGTAAGACTTGTTGTCCTTCAGTAAACGACACATCACGTCGTCCTTTATTCTCTTGCTTAGTCATTCGATCTTGCGCAGCCATCAAAGCAGATTTAGCAGCAGCAAGTTCCTTGGCATAACCCTTAGCAACGGGAACTGCGTCACCGAGTTCGAGTTGTACAGGGGTCTTAGGATGATAGCCATAATTCAGGAAGAATGGACTAACTCCTGTCGAGCAGTTCTTCGAGTTATTAATCGCAAATTCGGCCGGTCCGAGATATATCTCCCACTGTGAAGGTTCCTGATCACAGTAGTTTCTCAACATGTCTCCAAGGACGCGGTTAACTCGTTCTGTCTGACCATCAGTCTGAGGATGGAAAGCAGTACTCATCGCCTGCTTCACCTCTAGCCTCTTCATGAGAGAGGTCCAGAAAGCACCAGTAAACTTGGTGTCACGATCTGAGACGATGGTGTCTGGTAATCCGTGAAGCCGTACCACGGTGTCAAAGAATAAATCTGCAGTTTCTTCTGCATCTATTTCTTTCTTGCATGGTCGTACATGCACCATCTTAGTCAGTCGGTCTACAAACACCACAAGGGAGTTGTAACCTTTTCTAGTCGAGGGCAATCCGAGTACAAAGTCCATTGAGACGCTACTCCAAGGTCTTTCAGGAATCGGCAGAGGTCGAGATAGACCTAGCGGTTTGCCTGATAAAGCCTTATTCCGTTGGCAGAGATCGCAGCATGCGACAAAGTCTGCAACGTTAGCTTTCAACGTAGGCCACCAGAAATTCCGTTCAACCAAATCAATGGTTCAACTTTGGAAGTTGGCGAACTTTCAGAGGAGGAGAGCGCGCCTGGCGGAGGCTGCTGGCAGGCGACCCGTGACACACTCTGTCCAGTGCCGCCAAAAGTTGGCGAACTTTCAGAGGAGGAGAGCATGCCTGGCGGAGGGTGCTGGCAGGCGACCCGTGACACACTCTGTCCGGCGCCGCCAAACGTTGGCGAACTTTCAGATGAGGAGAGCACGCCTGGCGGAGGCTGACGGCAGGTGACCCGTTACACACTCTGTCCGGTGCCGCCAAAACTTGGCAAACTTTCAGAGGAGGAGAGCACGCCTGGTGGAGGCTGCTGGCAGGCGACCCATGACACACTCTGTCCGGTGCCGCCAAAAGTTGGCGAACTTTCAGAGGAGGAGAGCATGCCCGGCGGAGGCTGCTGGCAGGCGACCCGTGACGCACTCTGTCCGGCGCTGCCAAAAGTTGGCAAACTTTCAGAGGAGAGAGCACACCCGGCAGAGGCTGCTGGCAGGCAACCTGTGACACACTCTGTCCAGCGCCGCCAAACATTGGCGAACCCAATCGTCCTGAGCAGCTTGTCGGTGATGCCAGTGTTCAACACGCACAGGTTGCATGTGTGGGACGCATGCATCAGCCACAGGCACTCCTGGGTGAACCCGCCATCCAATGCCTTGTCCAGAATGATGACCATGACGTCCAGCGGCAACGGTGCGCAAGGCACAGGGTCTGCCACCAGACGCAAGCGAACGGCAACATTGCACAGCTCGTGCACAGAGATTGTGTGGGGGATGGGTGCAGTCCGGGAGTGCACGGTGGCGGTCTCCACCTGACGTGCACCATGCACCTTGATCCTCTACTGCTCTTCCTTGTTCCTTGGCATTGTTGCAGGTGCAATGTCACTCTCACAATCTCCCAGTGCAATCCGCACAGGGTGTCCCACTACAGTGCAGTAGTTGCAGTGGAATTCCCATGTGCGGAAAGATCACCATGCCCCCCATGCCCCCACGGCAATTTGACAACATCCGAGACGTGTACATGGAAGGGGATGTCGGTTTCGTCGGTGTCGAGAAGCTGCTTGGCAAGGTCAAGCACGGGCAACTGCAGCTGCCACCCGAGCAGACATGCAGCAGTGCCGCTCAGCAGGCATACCGCAACATTTCGACAGTGCAGCACTTTCACCTGCATCTGAACTCCTACTGCAATGGGTATTTTTTGTGCATCACGGCGCCCCCTGGTGTGTTCCAAATCGACACGATGCACCTTCCACACGATGGCATGAGCTCGGTGGTGTTCACGCTGGTGATCATGCACATCCTGCCACGCTATGCATTCGTCTACCTCATGCACACCAAGGTGAACGACAGTGTCATGGATGCATTTCGAAAGTTTGTCAGAGAGTTGCACGACTTCCCCATCTTCCATGCGCACCTGGCCAACGACGGCGCCAAGGATGAGTGGCCACGGTACTTCAGCCTGGATGGCGACCGCGCGGTGTACATTGGTGGAGTGGAGGGCAAATCGTGGGGACTGGTGGGCATGGTCACCCAGGCCCTCGAATGGTCGGACCGTGGCCTGGGCAGGGCTTCTCAATGAAGGTACAGCTGATGGTATGGCTGATGGATAACCGAATGAATGTTGTGCACAGGGACGTATTGTGAAGTAATAGGTAATGGGAGTGGCACATTACTATGCAAATCGACAGAAATTGCTTGGGGCCCGTTCCATACGTTGACTGACTAAATCCTTCGTTGGATAGTTGATTGTTGGGGCATGTCTGCTTCGCTTGTATACTGGGGCGACTTTCTGGTGCCAGCCAGTACTAGTTTTCGAAGGGTCTTACCCGCGGGTCCAGAGCAGTAGGGGCCCTCATGGTCGGTCTTGTGGATGATTTCAGCACTATGAACTTATTTCAGAATACAGGACTGACTCTCTGTTTCCTGCTTGAACTATATATGGAAGGGGCAAACCACTGTAACTTGTGCGTGTTTCTGCTAAGTTTTCCGCACTGTTTGCATTCTCAAAGCCATTCTTTCGTAAAACCGTCATAAGAATGCTTGAGACTGGCATAAGATCATTCTCAGCAGCACCAGCATTCTCAAGCCGTTCTTAGCATTCTTAGCGTTCTCAGGAACATTCTTTAGCACGCTTCCATTTTGGTAGGGAGAGATAAGGAACGTAACTTGGCATGGCAGCAATTCCTATGAAAGCAAGTACCATTTGGAAGGTTGTTTGCTTTGTTTCAGCACGTACATACGCAGAGACGCGCAACGGACGAAGCTGCAGCATCATCACATGGATTCACCAGCAGAGCACGAAATGGATGGACAAACCGATCATGATTTGCCAATGGTGGAGGCACACAGGATGAGGGATGTATAGGTTTTTAAGTAGAGCTTCAGGCTATCCTTCAATTCAGACGTACTTCCATGGGGTGGAAATGATGGCTGCGTGTGGCAATGTGTCGATGCATATGCAAGGCCAGTCCAGGCCACTGACTCGGAGCTAATCGAGCTAGCTAACTGAGCCTATCATCGATGATATCATGACGTCAGACTTCCATTTTCAGTCTACTAAACAAGGCAGGAAAGAAGTAAACTACTGTACAAGAAGCAGAAAGAAATAGGAAAGAGAGGCCGAAACATGAAGCAGATCATTGCAAATCCCGCCGCCAAGAACAGACAGGCATAGTCTCAGAAGGCGACCTCCCCACAGCACAACTTGAGCACATACAGTAGGATGGCAGCCACACAGCACCAGAAAGTCAGTAGGGAACTGAGACTGAAATCGTGCCCACCGCGGAAAATCACACGCCTGCTAGCGTGGCGTACTCCCACATCGGCACGCAGCATGAAAAAGCTTAGTGGTCGTTTGCGGTGCATCCTTCCGGCTTTGGGCACAACAAGCAAGTGAGAACTGGGCGAGAAAGCAGCCGCTTCGTCCTGCTGGAAGCAAGTCCGCAGCCACGTCCAGGAACACTCTTAGAGCATGAACGGGTCGAATGCGAAAGGTGCCATAGCTTTACAAAGAGCACCTATCCGGCTCAGCTCAGCAACAACCTCACTACTCAACTAGCATCCTAGACCGATGAGACAAGCATCAGCGTAGCCTCTTGTACCAGCAAAACGGTTGTCCAATGAGTACGGATTAGGGCTCTGAAGTGCAACCGAAACCAACCACCAAATATGCATAAGGCAAGCACACTGCCTGACAACATTTCATTCAACCAGGAAATTTCATGAATTCGAGAGCTCATAATTAACTTTCAATTTGAAACGCGTTAGTCGATTCTTCGCTGGTCTTCACGTCCCTCCAATGCCGAAATTATGTACCAAAAGGCAATGCAGACCGCCCAGGGGAACCTATGACAGCAATAAGCAGGCTCACGAAGGGTTTGCACATCGGTTCCCTTTATTTGTCGTCACTGCGACGGGCTTAATCAACCGCTCGTCCATGAAATGCTGAAGTGCTGATCTCACATTTTCCTTGTTCACACAAGGAACATATACATATCTAATATGAAATTTTCACGTTTCCCTGTGTCCCGCTGTTTTTGTCGTCTCGCATATGATACATCCTCCTTCTCATGAAGGTTCCATCGATGGCAAAGGTGCTAATTTTCAATTAAACTTGATCTACCTGTTCATGTATACTGGAAAATTCGCGCTCTGCTGGTATCTGCCAGGTGTCCGCTTCCTAATGTGGTGATTGAACCCCTTTGTTTCTCCTTTCTGCCTACATTCATCCTATACATACTCCGTTGCCTTATCTATAATGACAATATACTGTCATAAACGTTATGCCCCTTTTGACCTGCCTCGACATCCATCCTTTTCATTTTTGCTTTGGTTAAGTTTATTTTGCGTGGAGAACATGCTAGAAAGGTCTAGTCAGTACAACAAGGCTTTCGCAAAAGTCCAATTTCGCAAACGGGCTCCGCCTTTTCCTTGTCCCCGAGAAACTGCGAAGGGGAAACCGCGAAGGAGAAATCCCGAAGGGAAAACACCGAAGTGTTAACCCAAAGAGTTAACTACTAAACCAAAGGGAACCAAAGTCATCACCCTTTGGTTTATTTGTTAACCCAAAGGGGTTCGTTACGTAGCCCGACAAGGCCGAAAACTGTAACGTTTCCTGAAACAATGTGACAATTTCACATTGTAATGACAAAAGGAATAAACCTTTTGTTTCCCCTCCGGGTTGATCCCCGGAGGGGATGAAGGGAACCAAAGGCAACCCATAGTGCCTATGGGTTGTTGTGATATACTATTACATTTTATATCTGGACTTTTTAAGTGATTAGTTGTTGCTCCATAGGTAAATGCCATGCCATTTTCTGTTACATGTAATGAAAGAGAGAAAAGGACTGAGAGGCCCGAAGAAGACGGGCCTTACGAAGTAACGCGCGCTGAACAACAAAAACAAGATAAGCTAACCAGCTTAATGCGCGCAATAAATCTCGGCCCTGAGGACACGGGCCGTTGCGAAACAGTTAGTCTAACAGTTACGCATTGGGCCTTACGCCCAACTAACCCAGCTTACTTACGCAAGCTCGCATTAGTTGTTGCTCCATAGGTAAATGCCAAAGGAGAAGATACCCCCTCTAGCGGAACTGAGCACCAAAACGACGCAACGCGACGGGCCGCTAGAGGGACAAAGGACGCGAGAGCTGCCAGACAGGCACGCACACCGACACGAAAGAGAGCTCCCCAAGCAAAACGCCTCAACGACCTCCAAACGGTACCCCAGCAGCAAGGACAGCGGACACGCCACCTCTACGCAGGCAAAGAGCGAACAAACAGAACGCTGCCAAAAACCACAAGTACGAGGTCAAACCAGCGCTCTCCAACCACGCACAGACTGACCCACCGGCCACAAACGCGACGGATCCCTCAACAACGGCTGACGGACGCCCACTGAAGGAAGGGACGATAGACACGCGAGAATGCCAAACATGTGCCCGCTAAGGGTTGACCAAACGGCCAACTAGGGCTTGAACTGAAACACCGGCTCTGCAATAACGACCGCTCCACGCGCCCAGGGCACTGACAGCAGGGATACGGACGACGAAACCCAGCACGACAAACAGCAAAGTCGGGCCACCTCCGAACCAACGGGTACAACGGCCAACTGTTCAAAGAAGCCACACAGCATCTGCAATAAAGGCCAACACAAAGAGAGCCTGACAGAGCCACGGAGCGCTGCAAATGCGACCAACTACTATAAAAATGCCGCCAGCAGGGGCTGTCTCCAGCACAGGGCGCTTGGGTAACCGAGCAAGTCATACACGGAGCTCACGGAGTTCACGGAAAATAAGGCTGAGCAGCACGGGCTTGGATAATCTCTTGGCAACTAGAACTGACCCCACAGGAGCCCGACATAAACGGAGTCAGAAAGAGCCCCAGCCTACCGCGACACAGAAAACGCACAAACACAGCGAAGCAAAGCTGCCAGGTCTTAGCACCAACCCTGGGACAAGGCAACCTGGCAACCGGCAAAGACATGCGGAATGGACCAACCTAGGCCGGCGAGCGACAGCTGCGATACCAACAAGTTATCAAAGACCGGGGATGTCGCAACGGATTGCAGATCCAGCAAGAAACCGGGACCTATTCCGCGCCAAAGGCACTACTCAAACTTGGTCCCAAAACCAGCGGGGAGGGAACCAGCAGAACCACCGGATACCAAGCAAGCGAAAACGCTCCGAAATCACGAGAAACAAACGCAGGCTTAACACAAAGCGACGAAAAAACCAACTACCTGCGCGGTGTCTATGGAGCGCACACCTTAACACAACAAATCCCTTCCTATTCGCTCCACATAACTGCATAACTGCTCCCCTGCGCAAAGCCACTACAGCGTTACCTCAAAGACGGTCCCACTGCCCCTACAACATATAACGTGCCCCACGGGGAAGGGGGAATGCTAGGAAAGCGCTCCTAGCGGGGCACACACGGCCGAACTTGCAGCGCCTCACGGAACGACCGAGTGCTATGCAAAGCGCCCACATGACGACTGCACCCGCACTGCCACGACCTGCCAAGAAGGGGGTGGTAGGTAGGTGCTCGACCCACCCTCGCCCTGCGCAAACAGCTCCGTATTGGACGGCAGGAACACAATGTCAACCGCCAACTCCATCAACTGTTGCCACCAAGGTTGGGCCGTCCAGTACGGCACGACTAGGGTGAGGCACCCTCCCTCCTCGCGCACTTTCTGCACCACAGCGAGCAAGAAGTCAGGGTCCAAGGGTGGGCAGCCATATGCATTAAGCCCAGCCCACGATTGCAAGAGAGCATTGACCCCCGACGAACCCGGACAATGGTGGCGAGAAAAGAAAACCGGGAGGTGTGTGTTAATATGCGTGGCAAACAAGTCGACATGGTGCGGACCGAAGCGGTGCTCCAAAAGGCGGAAAAACCGGGGATGCAAGCGGTAGTCATCGCGATCGACCCAACGCGAAGCTTCATCTGCCTCGTTGTCAGCACTAGCCACACGCTCGACTTGCAAAACAATACTATGCTTCTGCATGAATTCCCATAATAATTTTAGTTCGGCATGCAGAGCTGCCGAGCGCGAGGAAAGACGCCCTAGCACTGCTT